ACAATTTAAAAACATCAAGAAAGCAAACTATGCCACAGCAGTTGTAGACTTAATTGTCCTGGGCTGATGCTGGCTGAGGTCTGGGAAGTCTCCCTCCCAGGCAGTCCTCACCTCACCTGACAGCCAACAAAACTACAGCCATCCCATTCTCCCCTCCCAGAAGTCCAAACCTTCATAAACAGGAGTCAAATGAACCCCAACCCTCCATTCTTGGTTTCTTTTTTTGGGGGGGGGGCGGGGTTGTTATTTTGCAGCAAAGCAGGCAAGAATTTATTGGTTGCAGCAAAAGTACACTCAGGACAGTGAAACAGGAAGGGCTTAGCATAGAATCAACAGGAGAACCTAGGCTGGGCTGCTTTGGCTCAAGGGAGGTCAGAGAAAAGGGGGCCTTGGAGATAGATTCAGGGGGTTAGCCTGGGACAAAATACTACTGCCTATTGTTCCCTTGGTTGCAAGTCTCTGTGGGTCCCTTACAGTTTAGGAGATGCATGCCTGTGGGGAAGTAGAGGAGGAAGGGAATGGCACGGGTGTTCTCCCCAGATGGAGAGCATGCCTGTTTGTGTTGATAGTACCCATCTCACACTTAAGGCTCTGACTGAAAATATGGGGTTATCTGGCTCTCAGCACCCCTACTTGAACCTCCCCCAACTCCCCACTACCCTCAGACCCAGAGCAGTGCCCCTCCACCCCCAGAGGACTGCCCTAGCTTCCTCCCCTCTCAGCTTCTAGTTGGCCCCACAGCCCCCCTACCCTCACACCAAATGGGCCTACTAGAAGTGCTCTTACCTAGCTACCCCCTGCTCAGACTTCAGTCACAAGCCCAGACCCTCCAAACACTGCACGTTCAAGGCTCACCTTACCTCATATGGTCCCTGGTCATAAAGCCCCTCCCCTATTTCCCAGGCCCTCAAATTTGCCAGTGTGGGGGTTCAGAATGAGCCACCCTAAGATGTGACTCAGTGGTATATAATTACTTTGAGCTAAAAACAATTTTAGCATCAGGCTCATAAGAAACTTCTGCCCCTCTCTTTAACTACCTAGAACTTGAATCAGGGGCCTTGCCCATAATAAAAATTATCAGAAATAACTTTTTAAAATACATTTTTATTGATTTCAGAGAGGAAGGGAGAGGGAGAGATAGAAACATCAATGATGACAGAGAATCATCAATAGGCTGCCTCCCGCATGCCCCACACTGGGGATCGAGTCCACTGACCTGGAATTGAACCGCAACCTCCTGGCTCATAAGGCAACGTCAACCACTGAGCAACACTAGCTGGGCAATAACTTTTTTTAAGTTTTAGAGAACTGCAGCTTTCTTTTTTAAAAATGTTTTTATTGATTTTTAGAGAGGAAGGGAGAGAAAGAAATATCAATGACGAGAATCATCAATAGGCTGCCTCCTATGCAACCCCCACTGGGGATTGAGCCCACACTCCTAACGGGAATCAAACCAGTGCTCTCGGTTCATGGGTCGACGCTCAACCACTGAGCCACACTGGTTGGACAGACATAATGTCTTTCGACCTGTCTAGAAGTCAGGGTAAACTTCTGTTTACTAAATGTCTGTTTTTGGCCCTAACTGGTTTGGCCCTAGCTAGTGGATTGAGCATCAGCCTGGCAAACAGAAGGGTCCTGGGTTCTATTCTGGTCAAAGGCATGTACCTCATCCCTGGCCGTAGTCAGGACATGTGCAGGAGGCAACCAATCAATATGTCTCTCTCCCTCCCTTTCACTCTCTCTAAAAGCCAATGGAAAAATATCCTCGGGTGAGGATTAACAAAAAAATAAACAATAAGTGTCTGTTTTTGTTATCATTCTGCAATGACTCATTGAAGTCCCCAAGGTACCTTACTTCACCCCTAGCTCAGGATGTCTTATATACATCCATGTTCCCTTTCTATTTCTGAACCTCTCCTGCAGGCGAGGTCTCTCTATCATGTATGTAAGGTTCCCATACACATGTATGTATTATATTTGGTCATTTTCTTTTGCTAAGCTGTCTCACGTTTATTAGTAGACCAGCGAGAAGAACCTTGAGAGCAGAGAAGTTTCTTCTTCCCCCACACCAGTTTTCACAGGATCCTACAGGGCCCAGACAGAGGCCTGGGAGCAGATCTGCCTGTCCCACTCATCTTAGTGAGGTGGGAACCCAGGCTCAGTGACTCGTAGAAAAGTACCCTGTGTAGAAAGTCTGTAGTACAGGGTCAGCCCTACAGAAGATATTACCTCTATGGGTTTTTTTTTCGTTTGTTTGGGGTGGAAGTGTGTGTTGGGGCGGGGCGGGGGTGTTAAAGCAGGAGGGAAGCAGATGTAAAAATGCCTGAAGGGCCAGGGTGCCGCTTGTAGTCTCCCAGTGGACCTGTCTCATTAGCCAAGCAGTACGTGCTGGAAGTGAGAGAACACCTGGTGACCCCAGGTGGAATCCTGCTGCATTAATGTGAGCAGGGGCTTTGGGAGGAAGCAGTAAGATGGGACAGTTGTAAAGGATGGAGTTGGGGTAAGGCATTCGATGAGTCAGCAAAACCAGCCCCTTAATTCTCCATTAGTAGGCCATCCCTCTCACAGCAGCCCATGGTGGGGAGGAAAATTGGTTGGGTGTTGTCCCAGGCACTGAAAGTTTGCCAGTTCGATTCCCAGTCAGGACACATGCCTAGTTTGCAGACTAGATCCCTGCTGGGGGTGTGCAGGAGATAGCCAATTGATGTTCCACTTTTACATCAATGTTTCTCTCTCCCTCTCCCTTCTTCTTTCTCTAAAAATCAATAATAAAAAAATCTTTTTTAAAAAAGTTTTTAATCTTTTGTTTATAAATTACCCAAAGTAGGGGCATGTGAAGTCAAGTCAGGGGGCAGAGTGCAGGGGATAGGGTACAAGGGAGGGAAGGCAGTATGAAGTCTAGGTGAGGCTGATAGGACAAATCTTGAAACCGGTTTGGTAAACAAAGAATCCTGACAGAGCATGAGCTGGGCCACCAGTGGTCACACCCACCAAGCCAACTCAGGTTCCCCCACTGTCCCCGGCCTGTGGTGCGGGCCCTGCAGAGATTCCATTTCTGGGGTCTCTGGCAAACAAGCAGCCAGGACCTGTAGGACAGGAAGAAGCCTGGGGAGGATCCCATCTCTGTCAGGAAAAGCAGCAGGATGTCGGGCCAGGTACTTCTGTAGTCAGGGAAGTTTAGCTCTTATTCCAAGTCAAATCTCAGAACCCCGTGAGGGCCAGACTCCTCTTGTTCACTGCTTATTCCCAGCGCAGCTCCGAGAAGGGGCTCGGCACCTAGGTGCTGGGAGCACTGCTGAGGCCTGAACTGGCTCCGGGCACCAGGAATCCTGTGAACCCAGAGTCCACCACGATAATGGGTTTGCTCCTGGCCGCTCACAAAAGGCCTCGGCTGAAGGGGTGCGATGGAGAGAGCATGGCATGACTGCTCATGGCAGCCAGGTGGCACGCATCCACCTGCCAAGCCCCGTTCTGAGACAAACTGACATCATGGCTCAGACCAACCTCCATGCAAAGTCCAGGCCTGCCCTGACTAGTATGCGCTTGGGCAAGCCATTTCTCCACTCGGGGCCTCAGTTTCCAAGGACATAGGATACTTAATTCCTGTCCTGCCTGCATCGGGGATGCCAAGATGAGATCCTGGGCTGGGAGGAGCTTAGTAACGGGAAGGGCTGGAGCAGGGCCTCCTGTCTGTCTGTCCCCGGTGGCAGAGGCTGCTGACTGAATAAGGAAGGCCCAGAGCCCTGGAAACACCAGATGGGCCACACTCCAGGCACTTGCCAACCACCTTTTCCAGGGAGAAGAAACACCGTTGTCTGCATTTCCTGCTCTCAGTGAATGCAAGGCAGCCCCAAGCCCAATGTGTGCCCCTTGAAAGAAAAACCCACATCTGAGCCGGGCACTGCACACCCATCCCAGAGGCTCTGATGTGGGCCAGGCTGTGCCAAGGGTCCTTCCTTTTCTCTGCCCTCAGCAGGGACTGCCCAGACCCCGGGTCAAACTCACAAGTCCAGTCCTGGACTTTGAGGCAGGGAAACTGAGGCCAGGGACCTGGAGGGGCTTATTCAAAGCCCCCACTGAATGTGCACCTGAACCTCCTAGTTCGGGCCAGGCCCGGGCTGGGTACTGGGTCCCAGAGCTGAATCTGACTCTGCTCTGCCCCAAGGCCTCCACTCCCAGAGCTCCTACCTCAACCCCTTCCTGCACCCTGCACACATTTGCCCAGCGGCTTGGGTGGGGGTTGGGGTACACCAGCACTTCCTTCAAAGAAGCCAAGACTCACCTGAAGAACCAAACATCTCCTGGCCCTGACACTGACTCTCAGACACTCCCAGGACCCCTCTGCATATGGGGAGGCCCCCCGACACTGCCCTAGAGGCTGCACCATTGCTGTCAGTTCTCCCACTGGAAAGAAAAGACCCAGCTCAGGTGGCAGGTTTAGATCCAACTGGTGCTTCCTGGGCAATCCCAGTGTACTTTCACCCAGGCCACTTAGGGGGCACAGGAAGGTTGGCTCTGCCCACTGACCTCAGCTTAATGCAACCATCACCTTGATACAGGGAGACCAGGGAACAATAAGCTGCAGGCATGGAGGTTTCCCCTTCATATAAAAATCTTTAATAAAAATAGCTCTCAAGTGGCCTAATATATGGTGATGGAAGATTGACTTTGGTTTGTGGGTACACAATGCAACATATAGATCTTGTATCATAGACATCTATACCTGAAACCTATATGATTCTATTAACCAATGTCACCCCAATAAATTTAATTTAAAAAAATAAATTTTAATTTTAAAAAATAGCTGTCTACAGAACCAGTCATAAAACAGAAATAGCAAACTCAATTTCCTGCCACCTGGGCAGGAGGGAATGAGGCAAGCTGAGCAGGCCACAGAAAACTATGCCAGGCCCAAAAGGTACAGCTCTGGCTGGCTACTGACACATGGGATGTGGGCTCAGGGTTGACACATTTCATTTTTCAAGAGGAGTTACAAATAATGTCTGGTTAGGAAAAACTTCATTTTTTTAATGGTGGTCACTAACTGATCACCCTCCCCACCAAATGGCAGTTAAAGGTTAAATAAAACACTTACAGGCAGCCAGTTAGCAGCCTGTTTTACACATTCAATATAAAAATAAGTGGGTCATACAGTAGCAAAACATTTGTACAAAGGTGACAGCTAAACTGATAGCATGTAGGCAGCCTGCAAGGGAGGGGTGGGACAGACTCCTCCCCCGAGACCATAGCTGAGGTAAGAAAAGGTAAAAGAACGAATGGTAAGAAGAAGCAGGGAGCCTTGCCGCACTAGCCTGCCAGTCTGTAGTCCCAGGACAGCAGAACCCTGTAGGTTAATGCAAGGGCCAGCTGGGGCTGAAGAACTCCCGACAGGTTTCCAGACCCAGGGAGCACCCTCACTCAGCCCTAATATCCCATGAGTCTTTTGGCCTCTTCGCTCTGGGCCTGCAGGGTCTCACTTGCATACTTCTGGAGGAGTTCCATCTTCTTCCTTCGCACAAGTGCCTCCTCGATCTGTGAATAAGAGTAAAAGACTCAGGCAACACTCCTCAGTGAGGCCCTCTATGTCCTGCCAGAACCCAGCCAGGAGGGAGTCCCCGTGAAGGAGGCCATTGAGGAGCTCAATACCCAGAGCGTCTTGAAGGTCCCTTTCTCTCCCACTGGAAGCATGTGAACAACAGAATGTTTACCAGTTTCCTCTAAAGCAGATAAAACCCTGCCTTCTCTAGATCCCACCCCTATTACGAGCACAGTGACCAGTGCCATGTGGTCAGGAGTCAGAGCTGCTCGTACGGACAGATGGGAAAAGAACCCAGTGAAGCACTCAATGGAGTCTCCTTTAGAGGCAAGGCCCCTGGCACCTGGGAAACTACACCTCCAACGCAGCTCACCCTACCTCTTGCTGCGACGGCACAGGGACATGGGCGATGAACTTCTGCTGCTCATCTTCGCCTCCTTTCTCCTGGCTGCCTTCCTCATCAGACTACAAACGGAGAACAACCAAGAGTCCGTGAGTAGGAGACCATGAAATAAACATTGGCAGTGCTATAAAATGCACTACTCTGCAGCT